AGGATGAAGGGGTCATGAAAAGGTTAAAAAAAAAACCCAATCCCTGTGTAAGGGCTCATGTACACTGCAGCTGATAAACTCACATTTAGGAGCTGTTCAGCGTTTTTTTTTCAGCAGCCCCTGAACTCACCCTAATGTTTTCCTATGTGTCCATGTACACATCTTCATTTACAGTTGTTTACAGGCATTTGAGTTTTACAGTCGTTTTTTTTTTTTAATGCAGAAAACTTGCATTCAGCAGTTGATTTTATCCGCATTTCACAAAATGCTTGGCAACGCGGCAAATCGCGCTTATAAGCATTTGCGTCTGAAATTTTTTTTTTAACTCTTCCAGTTCCCGATGCTGTCCAGAGCCTTTTTTCATCATGAAAAATGCATGCAAGGTGTTTTCAAGGTACTCAGATGGACAAAACACTGAACACAGGATGTTCCTATCAAGCTTGTCACACATTGTAATGACCAATTCACACCTCAGACCTCTCCCACCCTTGGAAACAAAAGATATGTTAATGACCATTCACACCCCAAATTCCTCATGAAGCCCCCTGCCAGGTGACCTTAATGACTCACTCCACCAGAAACTTTTCCCACCCTTGGAAACAAAAGAAATATTAATGAGCAACTCACGCCTAAGCTAATTTCAACACATACTGCTGTCTCTGCTTCTACTCTCTGTATTTCTCTGAAACAGTCTGAAATAGTTAATAATTTACCACTTTTCAGTGCATTCTGGGCATTTGGGAGGTTCTCCTGTGCTTATCCTTAAAAAAGGCTTCTAAATGCAAACACACATAAACGCGGCTAAACAGACGTTTTTTAACCTACTTTTTCCAGCAGTCAGTTTCCATCGTTCAAAAGTGTTCTGTGTACATAGGGCCTAAGTGAAAGAGGATTAGGGAATCCATGGCTGCTGATTCATTCATCTCTGCTGTAAGAGGAAGGGGAGACATAATCACTGTAAACAATAGTATGTGTTTTCGCTGTGATAACCAATCACAGGGTACCCAGTCCCTCAGATTGGCTTGGTACACTGTCTCTGTAAATGACACTGGATAAATAATGGACCTGTGATCAGTCATTTATAGATGTACCCCGGTCGAAAAGGGGGTAAACAGGACATTTCAAATCTGTAAAGTGTTAAAGTAAATCTAAACCCAATAATAAAAATGTAATATATTGCAGTTTACCAGTCCTTTGTTGTGGTGGCTGTATTAATTTTCTCAGTGGGTACAAATATTAAAGGGGACCTGTAGATATAAATGTGAAAAGGGGTCAGCTTGAACCATATATACGTCCAAGAACAAAAATTAATTTTCTATTTTTTCAGGCTTTTCCCCTTTATTTTCACCTGGTGATTATGCCACTACTGTGTTCATGAAGAAACATACAGGCATCAAAGCTGATCTGGACTTAAACACCTCCTACTCTACTCTTTTTACAAAATGTAGAGGGGATGGTTAATGCAGTCCTCACGGATAGCTGAAAACAATGTAAGGCTCTATTCACACTTGTGCGACTTGTCATGCGACTTTGGACACTAAAGTTACATGACAAGTCGCCCCAGATGTTTTTCAATGACAACCATTCAAATATGTTTGACTTAATGTTGCAGCGACTTTTAAAATGGTTCTTACACTACTTTGGTCCGCCTATCTTGCGACTTGAGTGCCATATTGTGCAAAGTCACATGAAAGTTGCATCTGAATGTTATACATACTACAGTTGTCCATTATCATTGGTCAAAGCCAAAGCCGCATCCAAGTTGCACGCATCCAAAGTTGCATCAGTGTTGCATCAAAGTTGCACCAAAGTTGTTCAACTTTTGAGTTGTACAAGTATGAATGCAGCCTAAATGTTAAGAGCGTAGTACAGGTAGAGAGCACAGGTAGGAGCGCTGTTAAAATTTCTGTCAGGATTATTAGTTTTGCACTTATCAAACAGATATAACAAAAACTGTTTCAATTGTATATTTAACAAACCAGAAGGGTGGAGATAAGAGACATTTATTGTTAGGATTTACATTCACTTTAAATCCATGAATCCCCTGCTATAGGGGGCAGTATATACTCACTTATCATGCAACCCCTTTTTCCTACCTCTGCTCTGCTCCAGTTCTGCAGCCTAAGGGCTCGTTCACACTTGGCTGTTTTACCAACGCTTGCCAAACGCCCCTATAGCGTTTGGCAAGCGTTGGTCCGGCGTTTGCAGAGCGCTTTTTAACGCTTGGCAAACGCTCCGCAAACGCCGCATGCGCGGTTTAGCGGCAGTTGCTAGGCATTTGCCGAGCGTTAATAACACCCCACAAATGCCTATAATGCAGTTTGAGTGGTGTTACCGCTCCGCAAATGCCCCGCAACCGCGTCGCAACCGCACCGCAAACGCTGGCCGGGCGCTTGGGGAGCGACACCATAGACGAGAATAGGAGGCTTTAAAGCCTCCTGACTCGACCAGAGGTGTCCGTTTTGCCGCGACGCAAACGCTCCCGTTAGAACAGCACCATGTGCTGTAATGTGCAGAATTGGCAGAGGCATTTGGGAAGCGGTAAAAATGCTTCCCAAACGCCTCTCTGCCGCCTGCACACATCTCTAGTGTGAACGTAGCCTTAGAAAAACTCTTTGCCGTTCGACTCTTCCAGGAGTGTCGGAAGCCTGCGTTCCCCACTGTGGTTCCATCTTCCACCCCTACATCATTACAGGACTCAGGTTCTTATCCTTCCCCACCCTATCCAAAGTTAAAAAAGAAGCAAGAGTTAAGCTCTATAAAGATTCTTGTTTCTGTTTAGGAACATCATTTGGCTTGTGGGTCATCATTGCAATAATTTAACCGTAGGATGGTTTATATCACATCTAAGAGAAAAGCTGGTAATGTATAACAGAGGCCGGGGCTCCTTTGATGTGACATGGGAATAGAGCAGCTGAAGGAGCTGATTAGATACAGTTTATGTAGAGAGTACAGCAAATATCACAATAAGCCACTCATCAGGAAATAACTTTCACATTGATGTTCACCATGTTAATCTGCTCTTGGGTTGTCCAAGAGCACAATGGGGCCCTCAGAGAGTTATTGGATGACCTCCCCATACTTTTCTGGATCTCTAAAAACTCTCTTGGCTAATACAAGGATCATTTTTCTAATTCATTTAATTAGACATCTTGAGCATCACTGAACATGTTCCAAAAGGTCATAATGTAGCTTCTAATGGGTGACAGGTCCTCTTTATAGGAGTAGGTGATGAATAGGAGTTTGGGATGAATTCACAGATGATTTGGAATGTCTTGATTGATGATTTGTGTTGGGGGCTCCTAGATGAGGCCTGGCTATTAGGTTTTGGTGTATGTGTGTGTCAGAGCGCATGGTTGAGTGTCAATAACTATGCATGTCTATTGTGGAAAAGGAAATTAGCACCTGGAGGATGATCATGTGGAGCTATAATAAAGTACCAAGCCCACAGGTGACATTCCCAGATGCTTTTAGTTACTAGGATTTTTTTGTACGTCTGGAGGAAAAGAAATTTAATCTCCAAACATGGAAAGGTTTCTTCACAGTGAGAGCTGTGAAAATGTGGAATAGAATCCCTCAAGAGTTGGTTCTGGCCAGCTCAGTGGATTGCTTTAAAAAAGGCCTGGATTATTTCTTGAATACACAGAATATAACTGGATATAACATTTATAGGTAAAGTTGATCCAGGGAATATCCGATTGCCTCTCGGGGGGATCAGGAAGGAATTTTTTTCCCTGCAAGACCAAATTTTTTCTTGCTTTGCTGGGGTTTTTTTTTTGCCTTCCTCTGGATCAACTGTGGGTGTAGGATTATAACTTTTTTTTTTTTTTTTTTTTTATAATGATTGAACTGGATGGACTTTTGTCTTTTTTCAGCCAGACTAACCACTGTATGTAACTATGTAAGAAGCATGTTAAGGGAAAACTATAAGCCTGTTTTTTTGCAATACATTCAAGGCAAGGCAATTTTAATGACACCCCAATTGCAGGTTGCAAACACAGTGCGTTTGCCTGTACTGGATCGCATGGTACAAAATGATCATGCAATCCAGCTGCAGTGTATTCCCAAAATTGCTTCATTAACGACTTTGGTGCAGATGCTGTGTAATGTGAGCCCATACAAAATGAATGGACTCAAATTGCACCGCACTGAATCACATGTGAATTGCATAGGAATGCAGTGCGGTTGCTGTGCGATTCATAGTGGGAACCTTGTGTAATGGTTGTGGGTATTTTTAAATTTAAACTGATGTTTTACTCTTTTTTTTAATTTTTTTATTTTTACTACGTATTCATAATCTGTTTTGGAAAAGAGGATAAAGGATTCCCAAAGCATTGGGAGATATCAAAAAAGGCAGCGCAGCAGAATGTGCAGATCTTGAGGCCTGCTGTGACTTATTGAACCTTTGGCCTGATCCACAAGATAAGGAGGAGTCAGTGAGCCTTTCAGATATATGCTGGAAACTGGCATTTTTAGAAAAGCAGTCAGCAGCATATTTTACATACTATCTTCTGAAGCCATCAGGTTGGTCATGTGGCACGCAGGGTCTTCTCCCCCTTTGGATCATTTACTGGTTGCAGGCTGTCCTCATTGATGCTGTTGGCAGCATCATTACACTGTGAGTGCAAATTTCCATGGTGACTTCCTACACTTCCAGTATATCTTCTGCCTTCCTTTTTGAATGACTCTGGGCATCATTTAACGCAGAAGACAGAGGGCATCTTGTGGCGGAGAAAAAGGTACTTCAGGGGACATCACTGGAGAGGAGGTGAGTATCGCACCCAGAGCTGCTTTTTTACTTTACTTTTACTGGCTGGGGCTTCCTTTTTAATCAAGCCTGGAGTTAAGCTTTCATTTTTCTCCATTCTGTTTAAAGCTAAAAAAAAAATTGGTTGGAGTTGAGCATTCAATTTTAGCCTGAGGTCCTTCTTCTTCTTTCTCTCTCATTTCCAGCTGGTTTCATTAGAAGGTGATAAGATTTTCTTTGAATCTTTTCTTGCAGACTGTCTGTTCAAGGTGTGCCCTATGAGCAGGTACTCAGCTCAGAAGCAATTCTGGAAAGCCAAACAGGCAAAACAAGGGAACAACACAGAAGCCGCACTTCTAAAGAAACTACAGGTGAGTCACTGAATTTTTTTAAGATTCACAGATTGTTTTTATGTACTATTATTAGAAACTTTTAGATTTAAAAAGGTTGTAAACCTCTGAAATGAAAATTGAACAAGGCATATCCTTCTATAATGTGTACTTACCTCAATCCAAAGCACCTAGTGTGCGTTCCAGCTTTTATCTCCTCCCTCTGCTATCTGCATGAGTCATTGATCATTTATCCAGACACCAAACAATCCCAGGAGCAATGACGTCCTCCCTCTAGCACACAGCAGGTGATTGACAGCTTCAGCTATCTATATTTCGCTATGAGAATGTGTAGAGGGGAGTGTGTCTTTTCACTCCACTCAGGTCTCAGATTACACTCAGCTCTCCTCTCTGTGCTGTGCAGTATGTAACATCAGATCCTAGCCCCCTGCCTTCTGAAGCTCAGGAAAGCTGTGTAATTTCTGTACTGTGAACTGATGTAGAGGTGAGAGGACCACAGATAAACAGGTACATTTTATGTAGGAAGATTTATTTCATCTCTGTGTATCACCTGATGCTAAGCAATTCACTGGATAAATGTAAGGGTTTACAACCACTTTAAATTACAGTAGTACAAAGTAGTTTAGGATTAGAGGGACATATGTAGTTCAATGCAGACACAATTTGTAAGGGACCAAAAATTCAGAACAAAGATGCAAGACCAAACAGCAGTATACACTAGATACCGCTAATAAGATTTATTGGTTTTTTAATGCAAACAAAGTCAAATATAGACCTCCAGTGCTGGTCTACCTCATCCAAAATTGCCATTTTGCTTCATACACATCATCTAATTCTATGGCTTTTAGCACATATTTCATGTAGAAAATTGCCTTTGCCAAAGCATTGATCTTTCTAGCCCAGAAAGTGGACAATGCTTTGACCCATGAGCCATTAAAGTGGTTGTAAAGGTAAAAGTTTTGTTTAACTTTACTGCATTCTCTGTATTAAAGTAAAAAACCTTCTACATGCAGCTCCCCCACAGCCCCACTAAATACTTATCTGAGCCCAATCTTGGCCCAGCATGTCTGCAGTCAGTGGTGTCGATATGGGGGTGCGGACCGCACCCAGGAGACACCCCACGCTCCCCATAGTGATGCGGCCAGTAGGCAGCCTCATGGGAGACTCATTGCCGGACCTGGTGGTGTTGCAGTTCCTAGTTGCACCCCCTCCCAAAAGCCATCAGTCCCCCTTTCTGCCTCCACCCTGACCACCATGCCCAGCCATCATACTTTTTCTCCCAGGGCTGAGATACATCATAATGTGGAGGGGGGCGGGTCACCAGTAGCATCGCTAGTGCCCAGCATTCACGTACTGCCCCGCTGCGATCTCTGGCTGGGACCCACATCTCTTCCCATCTGTCAGATAGAACTGGAGAAGCGTCCCCTAGATTCCTCCCTATAATATCCAGTGAAGAAAACTGCAGTGGGCAGAAGTTGAGGAAAGTGAATTTTGTAGAGGAGCCTTCCCCATCACCTCTCTCTCACCCCCCTCTATTTCCTCATTCCACCTCTCTCATTACCCTACCTTCTCTCCCTCCCCCCTTTCCTCCCCCCCCCCCCCTCCCTCTCTCATTCCCACCTCTTTCACCCCCCATCTCTCTCTTACCCCCCCCTCTCTCTTTCCCCCTCTCTCACCCCCCCACCACCTCCCTCTCCCCCCCCCCTCTCTTACCCCCCCCTCCCTGTCCCCCCTCCACACCCCCACCACCCCTCTCACCCCCCTCTCATTCCACCTCTCCAACCACCCCTCTCTCTACCCCCCTCTCTCTCCCCCCCCCCCCCTCTCACATCTCCCCCCCCCCCCTCTCTCACCCCCCTCCCTCCCCCCCTCTCTCTCTCTCCTATATATCCCCCCCTCCCCCATGCCACCCCTCTCATCCCCCCCCCCCCTCCCCCCCCCCTCTCCCCCTCTCTAACCCCCCCACCACCTCTCACCACCCTCTTGCTCTCTCCTCTATCCTCCTAACCTCTCTCATCCCCCCCCACCTCTCCACACCCTTCTCTCTTTCCCCCCTTGCTATCATTTCCCCTCCCCCCCCCTCCTCTCCCCCCCCCTCTCTCTCCCACCCCCCTCTTATCCCCCCCTCTCATTCTACCCTCTCTCCCCCCCCCCCTCTCATTCTCCCCACCACCCCCCCCCCTCCCCTCTCCCCCCCCCCCCCCCCCCCTCACCCCCCCCTTCTCTCACCCCCCCCCTCTCCCCCCACCACCTCTCTCTCCCCCCTCCCCTCATTCCCCCTCTCTCACCCCCCCTCCTCTTTTACCCCCCCTCTCCCCCCCTCTCCCCCCCCCCACCACCTCTCACCCCCCCCCTCTCTCTCTCTTACCCCCTCTCTTATTCCACCTCTCTCACCCCCCCCACCACTTCTCTCACCCCCCCTCTCTCTTACCCCCTCTCTCTTTCCCCCCTCTCTCCCCCCCCCCACCATGTCTCCCCCCCCTCTCCTCTCAATCTCTCATTCCACCTCTCTCATCCCCCACCACCTCCCCCCCCTCTCTCACCCCCTCTCTCTTTACTCCCCCCCCCCCTCTCATTTCTCCTCTCACCCCCCTCTCTTTCTCTCACCCCCCTCTCTCTCTCACCCCCTCTTTCTCTCACACCCACTCTCTCTCTCTCCACCCCCTTACCCCTCTTTCTCTTTTACACCCCCTGTCTCTCTCATTAACCCTCTCTCACCCCCCCCAACCACCTCTCGTGCTACAGTCAGAGGCGTCCCTAGGGTTGGTGTCACCCGGTGCGGTTACACCTGGTGACACCCCCTCCGACGATCCCCGCAGAATGGATCGGATCTGCGGATTGAGGATAACGGATCGGACTCCGATCCATTATGCTCAATCCGCAGATCTGATCCATCCTGCGGGAATCATCGACTTTCTTTACAACTTACCTTTGGAGCAGGTCCAGTATAGCGGCAAGATGTGTCTCCCATGTAGATATGTCCCCCCTGAAGCAACTGTGCATGTCCTGGTTGAAACTGGGACATGCACAGTTGCTTCAGGGGGGACATATCTACATGGGAGACACATCTTGCTGCTACACTGGTGTCACCCCGTATAGGTTGCATGCCGACGATCCCCGCAGGATCGTCGGCATGCAACCTATACGGGGTGACACCAGACCTACTCCAAGAAAAGGTAAGTTGTATAGAAAGCCGGGGATCGTCGGCTTGCTTCACAACTTACCTTTTTGTGGAGTGGGTCCGGCATCACCCCGTGCGGTCGGTGTCACCTGGTGCGGACCGCATCCTCTGCAACTGCCTCGGGACGCTACTGGCTATAGTGATGCTATAAGTGAACTGAATATACAGTGAGGATCGAAAGTTTGGGCACCCCAGCTAAAAATTTGTATTAATGTGCATAAAGAAGCCAAGGAAAGATGGAAAAATCTCCAAAAGGCATCAAATTACAGATTAGACATTCTTATAATATGTCAACAAAAGTTAGATTTTATTTCCATCATTTACACTTTCAAAATAACAGAAAACAAAAAAATTGCGTCTGCAAAAGTTAGGGCACCCTGCAGAGTTAATATCTTGTACTGCCCCCTTTGGCAAATATCACAGCTTGTAAACGCTTTTTGTAGCCAGCCAAGAGTCTTTCAATTCTTGTTTGAGGTATCTTTGCCCATTCTTCCTTACAAAAGTCTTCCAGTTCTTTGAGATTTCTGGGCTGTCTGTCATCCACTGCTCTTTTAAGGTCTATGCATAGATTTTCAATTATGTTGAGGTCAGGAGATTGTGAATGCCATGGCAAAACCTTCAGTTTACGCCTCTTGATGTAATCCCCCGTGGATTTCGAGGTGTGTTTAGGATCATTATCCATTTGTAGAAGCCATCCTCTCTTTAACTTCAGCTTTTTCACAGATGGCATCAAGTTACCATCCAAAATTTGCTGAAATTTTATTGAACCCATTTTTCCTTCTACTTGTGAGATGTTCCCTGTGCCACTGGCTGCAACACAACCCCAAAGCATGATTGATCCAACCCCATGCTTAACAGTTGGACAGAGGTTCTTTTCATTAAATTCTGTGCCCCTTCTTCTCCAAACATACCTTTGCTCATTCCGGCCAAAAAGTTAAATTTTAACCTCATCGGTCCACAGAACTTGTTTCCAAAATGCATCAGGCTTGTCTATATGTTCATTTGCAAAGTTCAAACGATGATTTTTGTGGTGAGGACGTAGAAGAGGTTTTTTTCTGATGACTCTTCCATGAAGACCATATTTGTACAAGTATCTCTTTATAGTGGAATAGTGTACCACAACTCCAGTGTCTGCCAGATCTTTCTGGAGGGATCGTGCAGTCAAACGTGGGTTTTGAATTGTTTTTCTCACAATCCTGCGAGCTGTTCTGTCTGATATTTTTCTTGGTCTTCCAGATCTTGCTTTAACTTCCACTGTTCCTGATGACTGCCATTTCTTAATTACATTCCAAACAGAGGATATTGACATCTGAAACGCTTTGCTATCTTCTTATAGCCTTCTCCAGCTTTGTGAGCGTCAACTATTTTCAGTTTCAGTTTTCTAGACAACTGCTTAGAAGAAGCCATGGTGCTGATTGTTGGGGCAAGGTCAGATGAGTCTGGGCATTTAAAACCTTTGAGATTGACATCACCTGGTCTTCCCAGACGATGATTGAGAACAATCCATGACACTGGCAGGCCTCAGCTTTGCAAAGGGGGCAGTGCATGCTATAAATTCTGCAGGGTGCCCAAACTTTTGCAGACGCCACTTTTTTGTTTTCTGTTATTTTGAAAGTGTAAATGATAGAAATAAAATTACCTTTTGTTGACATATTATAAGAATGTCTAATCTTTAATTTGATGCCTTTTGGAGATTTTTCCATCTTTCCTTGGCTTCTTTATGCACATTAATACAAATTTTTAGCTGGGGTGCCCAAACTTTCGATCCCCACTGTATATGAAAAATGTAAAAGGGAAAACATATTGATGTGAGTGGAAGTGGTAAAAATAATATAATGAT